GGCAATCAAGAAATGAACCGATGACTTTAACCCTCGGAAGTACACATTGCAGAACATAACGCAGAATTTAGCAGTCAAAACGGATTCATCGTTGATTCAAACCTTTTTCAGCAGCTGTCAGGGACAAGTAGAGTGCAGTCTGGTCTGGATGGTATAAAGTTGCAGATGTTTGGTTAGGCTAGTGTGCACATATGACATGGACAGGAATCGTCCCATATTTGATTTCAATTCAAGTCATTCAACTGTGCTCTCCTCTCAGAGTTATATTCACCATAGAATGATCTCCTTCCACGTGTGCGTTTTTAAGAGTTGCTCACTACTGTAGCTACACTCTTTTGTATAGTAGGCTATGTCACTTTGCCTTAAAGCCCCGTTCACACCTCCAGCGACAAAGCGACATGATCCCATTCATTTCAATGGAGCGCTGGCGACATCCGGCAACACGAGCGACAGTGACCGTTGGCGACAGAATGTGGGCGTGTCACGGTGCAGATCCACTTGTCCGTGCGACACTTCTGTTGCGCCGCGCTCCACTTTATTCCTATGGGTGACGTCACGTGACTTTAACGCGCCCGCAAAGCATCCCGGGAAGGCGGCGCTTCATTTGGAAAAATGCTGCGCGTCAAAAAGCTGGCCGATGCCAAGGGGGTAATCCATCGACCGGAAGTTGAAGCCGGCCGGGTGCCGCCATGTTGTAGCAGAACTTCACTTGCGTTAGCATTTCCATTGACTCCCATTCATTTTGGCGTCACTTTGACAGCGAATAACTTTACATCTGAGGCGTTTAAAGACTCCATTTGTCCATTATTTATTTCTAAAGAAACACGACAATGTATAAAGTGCTCCATTACCTTCTATGTTACATTATGGCCCCGTAGAAACAGTTTTAGTAAAAATAGGCTAACGATTGCGTCATAACCACTTGACTCTCTGTCGCGCTGTACAGAAATTACCGTACAGACAGGAGGAGAAGCTCGCAGGTGATCGGGGGGACGTCCCGTCAAGGGAGAAGCCCATAGATAATGAGTTCATAAAGGCAACGGAATACTTACTCCTGCTCACTCACGCCAAAGAACTCTTTGCTCAAGTTCCCCGTCTCTGCAAGATTAACGTTGGCAATTTTCACGCACAGCTACTAGAAGAGTAACGTCTGTCAGACAGGTCGCTCACGTCATCAAGCTTAGTTTGAGTCGGTTTGAGTCTGCGCGTCAGGAACGGAAGTGCTCAGAAATCGCTAAAAATGGGCTTCAACTGTCTCAACTGAGTTCCAATGAGATGGCTCTGTCCATTTCTTATACTGTCTATGGCCGATGCCCATCTTTATGCAAATGAATTCCGTTGAACGCGACGCGACTATCCAATAGAAGCAGAGCATATGTAGACGGGGGGAAGTCTCTCGCAGGTCCTCTGTTCTAGACTGGCCGCTGGCTCAAAACCACGCCCATAGCGGTAAACTTGAGGAACGCCCATCAATGTACAAATGTGGGGAGGCGTCGCGACACCACGCTACAGTCGTGTCGCAAAAGTGGATCTCTACCGTCAAGCGACAAGAGACAAATTTGAGAAATTTCAACTTTATGCAAATGAGAAGCGATTTTCGCGAGCGACAACCAATAGGAAAGAAGACTTTCAGTGGAGCTCACGTGGAGTGCAGGCAAGACAGAAGAGTTTGTGGGAGATTTCACTGTTTTATATGATTTGACTGTAACCACATACATGGATATAATAAAATGACGAATGGAAAAGAAACTGTTGACAGTCTCAGTGAGTTTAATTCATATACATTTATAGTATGAGTGTTGTAATTTTATGATGCAAGTTTAGCAATGCTGCAGATCATTTTACAGTTTCCCTGCATTATGTTGACTATTAGGGACAAGAAAATTGATTATTTGTCAAATTCGAATGAAGTTTTAGTAATTTATGACAGAATGAGTGAGTTTAATTTGTTGATTGATCGATCTTTAATCTAGTAAATGATCTAATCCACTGAACACTGCTGTGGTGGTAATATAAAAACACTCTCCCAACAGCATACTGTTTCTTTTGAGCCTAATTCCTAGTCAAATTAAATAATATAGTTGTATATGTCACTTCTGATGGTATTTTGTATAGATATATGGCTAGACGTGCAGTCTACCAATAACATTAGAGCGACAGCACTACGAACGCCCACAAGCGACTTCACAGTACAGAGACAAGCGACATGTAGCCCCGTTCACACTACACGCGACTTTGTCGCTGCAAGTCGCCAGCCGCTGGCGATGAGGTCGCTAGTGGGCGTTCCCACTACTGGTTGACTAGTATGACATCCAAAAGACAGCGAATCAGCTTTCTTGCCGCTATCACTGCAGGCCCAGGGGCTGAGGAGAAGGATCACGTGCGCTCCACTCCTATTGGTTGTCGCTCGCGAAAATCGCTCTTCATTTGCATAAAGTTAAACATTTCTCAACTTTATCGCGTCGCCAGACACGCCCCATCTAGTCGCCAACGGTTGCTGTCGCGCGTGTCGCCGGAAGTCGCCCGCTCACCATTTAAATGAATGGTATCGCGTCGCTTGGTCGCGTGTAGTGTGAACGGGGCTTGTAGCGACAAAATCGCTGGCGGTGTGAACGGGGCTAGCGATCAATTGAATACAGCTACAACTTCTCGCGTTCAATCGCGTCTGCCTGCGGATCGCTGATTGGCTAAAAGTGCGTGCTCGTCGGTGATGTCAACACTAACGCCAGCTGACTCTGCATGAGCGTGTGTGTACAGTAATGTCATGATGACTGATTTTATGGACTACATGCACTTTAGTTTCGATTTTTTTAACCAATTAGACTTTAAAATGCAGATGTTTGAAAACCGCCGAAATGACCCCAAACCAGCCCAAATTTTGACCACCCGCCCAAACCCTTTTTTACCCGCACAATCAAATTCAAAACCGCCCAATCTGGCAACACTCCGCGCCGCGCTAAACGCCTCCGACACACAGCTCCACTGCCAAGTGTTGATAGGCTATTACTCGTGAGGAGTAACCAATCAGATAGCGCCGTGTGCGGGACATTGAGCAAGTCTGCAGAGAGGTGATTACAGAGAGGCTGCGGCCGCTATATTTTTTTTCCACAGGATGGTAGGGGAAGACTCATGAATATTCATTAGGGAACTCATCCCTGATTGGTCTGATGACCTACCCCCTAACTCCGCCCCTAAACCTACCCGTCACTGGGGGTCTGATGACCTACCCCTAACCCCGCCCCTAAACCTACCAGTCACTGGGGTTAAGACCAATCAGGGATGAGTTCCCTAATGAATATTCATGAGTTTTCCCTACCATCCTGTGAAAAAAAATATCGCGCTGCGGCCGCTATACCAGAGCCAACCGAAGGAGCGCATTTTAAAATAAAATTGACTTTGATCAAACAACGGAGCACGGACCCGTGAAAAGTTTTGTGATCCGTCTCTCCACTAGTGTAGTAGCACTGATCACTTTGAGGGGGGGATAAATTTATCCCCACCGGGGATAAAAATAATTAAGCAGAGGCAGGGATACACCCCTTTTCAACACGTCTTAACTGCCGTACAGTCTAACATTGATTAACCGAGATCCCACAGTGTGACATGGCTTACAGCGGGGATCATGTTCATACAGTCTGACAAGCAACAGTCATAAAGGACTATTGTAAATCGTACTGTGTGCACCCGGCTTAAAATGGGGACTGAGAATTGTCATGAAATGTTATGAAAAAATTAGTGCTGTCAAACGATTAAAATATTTAATCGCGATTAATCGCATTAATGTCATAGTTAACTCGCATTTAATCGCACATTTTTATCTATTCTAAATGTCTCTTGATTTCTTTTTGTCCCATTATTTTTTTTCTCATTTTAATGCTCTTATCAACATGGAAAAGTGGATCGGCTTGCTTTGTGCAAATGTTTTTTATTGAAAACAATATTGGCATATACTGTTCAATTTCACACTAGAACTGACGAGGTCCTGATATTGACGAGGGGGCGGAGAATTCGCATCAGCTGTGTGTGTGTGTGTGTGTGTGTGTGTGTGTGTGTGTGTGTGTGTGTGTGTGTGTGTGTGTGTGTGTGTGTGTGTGTGTGTGTGTGTGTGTGTGTGTGTGTGTGTGTGTGTGTGTGTGCTGGTCATCATCAAGTGGTATTCAGACTGGACGTGCTGCGATGATGATAGCTCAGTTCACAACGACAAAACACACAGATCACTTTGGTCTTGTCAATGGAACCATTTGGCAACTTTTTAAAAGTAAACTTTCCATTCAGAATCTTATTGGCATCCATTTCGGCGTCTCACGCTCGTCATCCACTCAAAACTGGACGTTTTGAACGTTCCTATAACATTCAGAAATAACGTTTTTATAACTTAATGGGAACGTTATGAAAACATTCTTATAACCTAAAATTGTTAGCTGGGGAAGAGGAGAGATTCGCGATTGCACTGAAACGTTTAAGTGCAGGCATATTCTCTGAGTGAGCCCAGAGAAAATTCTTACAAGAGCAGCGTGTATCTGAGAGCGCGCGCGACTCGAGCAGAGAGATTCGTGCTCGGCACATTATATTCCGCGCGCGAGCAGAGAGATTCGCGCTCGCGCATCCGGCTCGCAAGCCCAAACAAGTGTGTGCGGCGTGCCTGTTGTTTTGTTTCCGGTCTAGCTAGATCCGCTTGCGCTTTCAAAACGTCCTCGCGCGCCGCAAGCCATTGAAATGAATGGGTTTCATAGCGCAGCGGCCCGCATGCCGTCCTGTTGCAAAAGCATGTGGAAAAAAACCTACAAAGTTTGCTAGGCCAAAAAGACCGTTAATCGCGCGATAAAAAAATTAACGCCGTTAAGATGGGTTTGCGTTAACGGCGTTAATAACGCGTTTAACTGACAGCCCTAAAAAATTAAATATGTCACAAAAATATCTTTGCGTACATGAAGCTCTGGGTAAAAAAATATTTTTAAATGATTATACCACCCATTCAGGCTGTTGTTTCTGTGTTTCAGGGAGTGGACTTGCCCAAACTGTTGGACGCTGGCTCATACATCTGTAATTCACTTAACAGAAGAACAAATTCAAAAGTTGCTCAGGCCTCCTGCAAACTCTGAAGTCTTTTTTCTCTTCTTAGTGATCGTAGTCTGGGTTCACTCTTGTAGAGGGTCACACTGTCCCTATGCAGTGAAGCCTCTTAATTTACAGCATATTTGATATAAGTATCTCTAATCACAGTGAAGCTAGTCTGGGGATGAGCACATCCGTTCTCTACTGTGAATGTGGGAATTAGTCTGGTGGTCTAAAAAGACGCTCATGAACTTTGTATCACCTAATATTCACAACCAGACAGACCAAAAATGTTCTCTTGTGCCTTGATAACTGATGACAGCCAATCAATAAATACAGAGTTTTTATTTCTAATAAATGAATTCAGCGTTTTATGTACTGCTGAAGTAAGATCAATTTATGTTGCCTAAACGCAATAAACCCATTACAATGAAAAGACTCTCGGGGAGTGGAATTGATGCACCAATATGATAACTGCTTACTGATGAATTTTGTTCCTCTCCAGGAAAAGACTTGAATAGTTTGAGGGAAATTATTGAAGAAAAAATCCTTTTACATAAGCAGCATTTGTTACAGGCAGAAATCAAGCTGAAGCTCTGCAGGTTTGCTGAATGCCTGTAGGTTTTTAGACATGTCTTGTGGGTGAAACGGCTTATTATTGTTTCTCTTTGTGTTGTTAACTGACATTGTGTGATTTTCTTTTTTGGCCACAATTTATGATGTTTAATTGATGTAATTAATTTTATTGATTAAAGACAAGATAATGAAAAAAGTGAATTCATGAGTCCTTATGCAATGTGGAAAACTTATCTTTAGACTAAAAAAACGGTTAGGCTGACAGCTGAACTCTGTTTACAACTGTGACAAACAAAAAACTGGAATCATCTTGCTGGTTAGGCTGACAGGCAGCTGAACTCTTTTTACAACTGTAACAAACTGGAATCTTCTTGCCAAGAGGAAAGAATGTACTTATTTGTTGAAGGCTGATGTACTGGATCAACAACTCTTGCACATTTACGCATTTTGTTTGACATCATAGACGCACCCTCAAAAACATATTTTAGAGTTCATGTATTACTAAGGTTTGAAGAGTTCATCAGCAGTGAAAACTTGATCAAATCGTTCTCGTACTTTCATCAGTAAGTGGCGTAAATGTATGGCTGGGGGCTGCATATACATGTGATTATTCTGAAGAATGACTTTATAAAAAAACGTTCTCTATATATTAATGTCTCTATATGAAACACTTATTATTTTTTTTTTGATGGTGTTCATATGTCCAAACATTCATAATAAAGGTACCTATACATTGGGTAGGCATTATATGTTCCAGAGATTTTGATCCATTAAAATTCTGACTTTAAGAGCAAGTAAACTTTTTTTAAAGCAGTCAAAACAAAAATACAGAAACCAGTAATTTTGTGAAATTGTATTACAATTTAAAATCGCTTTTATATTTGAATATTTTAAAATGTCATTTCCTGTGATTGCAAAGCTGAATTATCAGCGTCATTACTCCAGTCTTCAGTGTCACATGATCCTTCAGAAATCATTCTGATATGCTGTTGTTGATATTTTAATCATATTTTAGAGGAAACCCTGATCCATTTTTCAGGATTCTTTGATGAGTAAAACGTTGACTCAGGCACACCTGAACTAATCAGTTTGTCCAATAATGGCAGACAGGAAACAAAGGAGCTGCCTGAAGTTCAGGTAGTAGTGCAGCTGTGCATAGATAGAGCCTATACACAGCCATGGATATATGTTTCTATATAGGGCTATAACAGCCATCTACTGGTTACACAACAGTATTACAGATGATAAATGGTGCATGACTCAGATGTAAATATTTAGTACTGTAAAATCCCTTAAAACATTTATATAATTTGTTTGAAACAAATATTTTAAGTCTTCAACTTGTTACTGTATGTGGGAGTTCAAATCAGTTTGTATTGTTAGATTATAATATGTTTCCTTTCTCATTTTCCAGGGAGTTGAGCAGCTTTTCCATAAACAAAATTCTGATGCTGACACAGAGGATGGAGTGATAGTACCAGAGATCCACTGTCCACATCAGACAATAATCTTACTTTGTTCAGACACATCACATTTGAATGACTGGGATCTTGATCTTCAGACACCTGATTTATTCTGTTTTTATAAAATAGCAAATATTTTAATTTCCTCTAGATCAAAACAAACACAGTTCACAAGTACACAAGAGGTTGCACTTTATTCATATTAGTTTATGCTGATCATGGATTAGCATACCAACAGCATATGAATGTTAAGGGGATAGTTCACCCAAAAATACAATTCTCACTTATTTTACTCACCCTCATGCTGTCCCATGCATTTTACTTTCTTTCTACGGATAAACACGAATTAAGATTTTAAGGAAAGTAATCCATCTCTGCGAGTCCTAAAGATGCTTTAAAAATCACACACAGTGACCGTGATGTCCATGCGACCTCAGTGGATGAATCAATGCCTTCTGGAGGGAAACAATAGGCTAGACAAGAAAAATACTAATAATGTAAACCGTATTAAAAATCACTTCCGATCAACTGTCATACGTACATGAATTACAATCCACTTGTATTATACACTCACCGGCCACTTTATTAGGTACCCCATGCTAGTAACGGGTTGGACCCCCTTTTGCCTTAAGAACTGCCTCAATTCTTGGTGGCATAGATTCAACAAGGTGCTGGAAGCATTCCTCAGGGAGTTTGGTCCATATTGACATGATGGCATCACACAGTTGCCGCAGATTTGTCGGCTGCACATCCATGATGCGAATCTCCCGTTCCACCACATCCCAAAGATGCTCTATTGGGTTGAGATCTGGTGACTGTGGAGGCCATTTTAGTACAGTGAACTCATTGTCATGTTCAAGAAACCAATTTGAAATGATTAGAGCTTTGTGACATGGTGGAAGTAGCCATCAGAGGATGGGTACATGGTGGCCATAAAGGGATGGACATGGTCAGAAACAATGCTCAGGTAGGCCGTGGCATTTAAACGATGCCCAATTGGCACTAAGGGGCCTAAAGTGTGCCAGGAAAACATCCCCCACACCATTACACCACCACCACCAGCCTGCACAGTGGTAACAAGGCATGATGGTTCCATGTTCTCATTCTGTTTACGCCAAATTCTGACTCTAACATCTGAATGTCTCAACAGAAATCGAGACTCATCAGACCAGGCAACATTTTTCCAGTCTTCAACTGTTCAATTTTGGTGAGCTCTTGCAAATTGTAGCCTCTTTTTCCTATTTGTAGTGGAGATGAGTGGTACCCGGTGGAGTCTTCTGCTGTTGTAGCCCATCCGCCTCAAGGTTGTGCGTGTTGTGGCTTCACAAATGCTTTGCTGCATACCTCGGTTGTAACGAGTAGTTATTTCAGTCACTGTTGCCCTTCTATCAGCTCGAACCAGTCTGGCCATTCTCCTCTGACCTCTAGCATCAACAAGGCATTTCCGCCCACAGAACTGCCGCTCACTGGATGTTTTTTCTTTTTCGGACCATTCTCTGTAAACCCTAGAGATGGTTGTGCGTGAAAATCCCAGTAGATTAGCAGTTTCTGAAATACTCAGACCAGCCCTTCTGGCACCAACAATCATGCCACGTTCAAAGTCACTCAAATCACCTTTCTTCCCCATACTGATTATCGGTTTGAACTGCAGGAGATTGTCTTGACCATGTCTACATGCCTAAATGCACGTAGTTGCCGCCATGTGATTGGCTGCTTAGAAATTAAGTGTTAACGAGCAGTTGGACAGGTGTACCTAATAAAGTGGCCGGTGAGTGTATGTACTCACAGAGACGGATTATTTCCTTAAAAATCTTTGTTTATGTTTATGTGAAGAAAGAAAGTCATATTCATCTGAGATGGCATGAAGTGAGTAAATGATGAGAGAATTCTCATTTTTTGGGTGGACTATCCTTGTACCCACCCAGTCACTGCTTTGTTACTTTTACTATAACAGGAACTGTTCAAAGGATCATAGCATCATTTAAAATGTATATGAATTTTAAATATGTATTCTGTATTTGTAATTGTGCATTTTGTATAGTAATGTATATCATGATAATACTGTGCATTACATGTATAGTATGCAGGTAATGTTTTGTGGATTCTGGTCTTTCCTGTCACAACATTATTGCATCCAAGACTTTCACTTTGATACTTGTGTATATGCCGTATTGACAATAAAGAATGTACATTTATTTGAATTCATATTTTTAATTACTTTCATTTAACTGGTTGTATAAGTCACAATTGAAACTGTTGATGATTGTTAAAATTTTAAATGTTACAAGATAATATTAACTAAATTAAATAACTAAATAAAATTATCAGCATGATAAAAAACATTCTTTGTGTGACATATGTAATGAAATGCCCTTTGAGGTCTGTATCATTTGACAACAGGCCACGATTGTAATTTTCATATTGTTTAAATTCCTCTTATTAATGTTGATGGAGTAAATGCATATGCTAACAATGAGTAATGTGATGGACATGGTTGCCAACCTTGATTACCTAGTTGAAGTGAAACTTTCTTCTTGACGGCTGAATATATCACTATGCTAGTATTATTTTTAAATTGTAACAGCTCAACATAATCAGAGCCTAACATGCAAAAGAATCATCAGGAATAAACAATAATTCTCCGAAAACATTGGACACTATACAATACTTTCAGTATTATACAGTAGGCCTATTTTAATGTACAACGCTTCTAAAAGCTTCTGTCGACAAAGTAGTAGCAGCAGGTAAATACAGATAAAATTCAAAAACAAACATAACTTAAAGGCACACTATGCAAGAATTGTACCTTAATATAACAGCTTCAAAGTCATTTCGGTGGTAAACAAACTCACAGTAGGGCGAATCATCCTGGTAGTAAAGCTTGGGGGGGACACCGCTGTAAAAACCAGCAATGCAAGTTTGAGAGGAGCGCCCCCGACAAATCTCGCGAGAATAACGACATGCTTTACGGCAACGACGTCACACACATCAACAACAATATATGAAGCACGAAGACAGAGCCATAGAGAGAAAGAGTTGCGACACGCTTTGATGTCGCCGCGA